CGTAAGATGGCCGCGCTATTCGTCACCCTGAGTGAGGAATAATTATTCTTCACCCTCTCTATTTTGACATCAATGCATCGTATTTTTACGTTTCGTAAATTTTGTCTTATTCCATACATAAAAAGAGAACGTAAAAAAATATGTACTCACCGTAAAAATAATTATGTTTCGTAAAATTACAAATGTAAAAATATAGTGTAAAACATACATAAAATATATTTTTTCTGGTCTTATAACCAATTTTTTGTATCAAATTTTACATATTGAATCAATATGCATGTAACTATTTATATTCTAAACGTAATTTATTTAAGAAGCGATTGTAAGATTATCTCGGGTGAAGAATAACTTATTCTGCACCCTGGGTGATGAATAGTAACACTATATATGTTATCATGGGTGAGGAATAATTATTCTTCACCACCTCTATTTTAACATCAATGCACCGTAATTTTACGTTCCGTAAGTTTTGTCTTATTTCGGACGTAAAAAGGGACCGTAAGAAAATATGTAATCACCGAAAAAATAATTTATGTTATTTAAAATTACAAACGTAAAAATATAGTCTAAAATACACATAAAATGCAAATTTTCTTGTCTTATGACCTATATTTTTATTTTTTTATGTCAAATTTTATGCAGTGAATCAATATGAATTTAACTATTTGAATTCGAAATGTAATTTAATTATGAAATGATCATAAGATTATCTCGGGTGAAGAATATCTTATTCTGCACCCTGGGTGATGAATAATATATCACCCAGTGTGCAGAATAAGATATTATTCACCCGAGGTAATATCACGATCATTTCATAACTAAATTACATTTTGAATTCAAATAGTTAAATTCATATTGATTCACTGCATAAAATTTGACATAAAAAAATAAAAATATAGGTCATAAGACAAGAGAATTTGCATTTTATGTGTATTTTAGACTATATTTTTACGTTTGTAATTTTACATAACATAAATTATTTTTTAGGTGATTATATATTTTCTTACGGTCCCTTTTTGCGTCCGAAATAAGACAAAACTTACGGAACGTAAAATTACGGTGCATTGATGGTAAGATAGAGGTGGTGAAGAATAATTATTCCTCACCTAGGGTGACGAATAGCGCGACCCTATATATATAGGGAATGGATTTGCTACCCACACTAGCTCCAGTGGTTGTTATCGGAACCATTGGTTGGCTTTAGAATTCGCACTTTTAGGTGGATAAGGTTCCGATTTTCTAGATTATTGAATTTCGCCACAACATATTAGGAATGGTCGGCTGGACCTTTATGTAGTGGCAGGCCCCAAGATGGCAACCTACCCTCTGGCTATGCATGCGCACTGAGAACAGGAGCAGCTTTGCCTTTCTGAAAATGCAGACCACGACAGGAACTACTTCGGGCATCTTACGAATTTGACCAACGGTGGCAATGTACTAAAAGTTCTTGGTCCGGCGTGCTGGACGGTCATTGTAAGAACTGCCATTTTTGTAGATTTGGTCAAAGGTTCGACACCTTATGAAACTAGGAATTGGACTACGACGTGTCCTGTCATTTTTAATCAAGCAAAAAGTAAGACGGTGCTGCACCGTTCGCACTGGTAATGGAACTGCGACACAATGAATTCGTTTTTCGTAGTCTTGTAGAGGAAAAGCCGCGTGTTTGACCATGAATACGTTTTCCAATGTGTCACCGACACAAGTAACATACCCTGTTTTATATCGCTCCAGCCGGTTCACTCTTTTTAAAAGTAATGTGTCACTCGCAGTTCCTTTTTACAACATAGCGGTTTACTACACTGTCCAGAGCCGTTCTCTTTTTTTAAGTATAAAGTCGAGAGCAGTTCTGTGGGCACCAGTGGCATCTGAAACCACCACACGGCCTATCGGTATCAATATTAAAGGTTTCTAGAGTATGGGTGAAAATTATAATGGTTACGAGGAAATAATATTCACACATGTATAATCGTCGAAAACCTCATCAAGGCTTAATGACACCCAAAAAAATGCTGAATTCAGGCAAGCAAAGGTTGAGATCCAGATTGGAAATCTTAGAGAAAAGAA